TCCCACCCCATCAACTTCGCAAGTGATGTTTAATGGAGTTGGAGAGAAGGACAGGAGGGAAGAAGGGAGAAGCTTGTGAGAATTCTGTGAGTTGATGATGGGAAATTATAGATTTAACATAATTGACCATGAACTAAAGCCTTCTGCCCAATACATTCAGGTAGCAAAGTTTCTTAAAGTGTAGGATGATATACTTAAATTTAAACCCAAGTTATCATGGAATTACCCTCATCTGAAACAAAGTATGTTCTTGGTTGTTTGGTTCTTTTAGAGACTACAGGCTCTGCATGGCGCTGTCCACAGAACTTTTCTCTGATGGTGGCAATGTTCACTGTAATCTGCACTGTCCCATACGATAGCCAGTAGCCACATATGGCTATTGAACATTTGAAATGTGGCCAACACAGTAAGAAAATAAATTGTTTTTGTTTTTGTTTTTTGAGATGATGTCTGGCTCTATCGCCCAAGCTGGAGTGCAATGGCATGCTCTCAGCTCACTGCAACCTCTGCCTTCCAGGTGCAAGCAATTCTCCTGCCTCAGCCTCCCAAGTAGCTGGGATTACAGGCACACACCACCACCCCCAGCTAATTTTTATATTTTTAGTGGAGATGGCGTTTCACCATCCTGGCCAGGATGTTCTCAAACTCCTGACCTCAAGTGATTTGCTTGCCTCAGCCTCCCAAAGTGCTGGGATTACAGGCATGAGCCACTGTGCCCAGCCTATTTTATTTTACTTTGGTTATTGTTAACTTAAACAGCCACATGGGGCTAGTGTCTCCCCAGGTGGGCAGCATAGCTATATGGGATTTAACATACAAGTTCCCTAAATTGGTCCAGGCCTGCTCTCCAGCTTCGGTCTGCTCCTTCTCCTTGCCCCAGAAATCAACGCTCACAAAGGAAAACTGCTGTTCCACACCTCCATGGCTGTGCATACACTGGCCCATTGCCTGAAATATCCTTCCTCCACATCCACCTCCAAACCTTATCCCCCGCCTACCTCCCGCTACCACCAACACAATCTACCATCACTTCCTCTGTGTTCCTCCACGTCTGTTTCTGTTGTTGCTGTCATCATCCTGTAGTTGTAACCTATTCTCTGTAACACTAACGGACTATGAGAATTTTGAGGACCAGGTCTTACGCATTTCTTCATCCTAGCGATGTGTGCCCATCACACAACACATGTACAGTAAATATTTACTGTTCCCATTACTAATTTTAAGTATGTAACATGTTTTCTTAAAATTATTTTGGAGCATTGACAACCACTCTGTGATTACGGCAACTATTTAAGTCAAAGTCTATTAAGAGGCCAATTTTCAAATAATAAAAAGTTCTTAGAGTATCAGTTGAAGTTCTACTTATTTCAAACCATATCAATATAACATTTCAGTACAAACCAAAGAATATAACTGTTCCCTTGTTGTTCCCTGTAACAAAATCCTACCTATAGCTGCTCCTCCTAAGGGTCTGGAAGTCTCTTGGATTTCAGAAACTGATCTTGTCACTGATCTGTCCCCAGTGCCTGCAGTCACTTACTAGGGAGACATGGATGAGATTTAAAAGCAAGAAGACAAAAGGACCTGATTTAAGACTTGTCATGGACACCATCAAATGGGAATCCAGGGTAATCTACCCTTGCTGCACCCCATGTCCAATTTTACCCACAAGGAGGAAATAATTAAAACCATATCCATCACAAAAAATAATGTCCATAAGTGATGTGTCTGCTTAGTGATATGTTATCCAAAAAAGAATGGTCTGTTTTCCTTATTCCTTGGCAAAGCTCAAGAAATTGTCCTTTCATAGATAATGTAGCATGTGTTGTGATATTAATCTGGCCTGATAGCCACACTATTTCATTTTTTTCCCCTTCACGATTTTCAGATTTTTTACTTAAATTCTCATACAAATGTTTCTATAATTAGAATAAGCTCTTGATGGACGCATTTCTGGGAACCTCATTTGTATGAAATATTTCCCAAATACCAAGTATCTGGTGAATGTATTGTACAAATGATTGTCTTTCCTGCCCTCTAGGAACTTACAGTTTAATAATGCAAACAAATGAATACACAGTGATGAGAAATGCATATGTGGGGGTACAGCATGGCAGAAGGTCTTTAAGGACAATGGATTTCAGAATGAATATAAATCTAGAGGACTTTATCTTCAAATCAGACCTAGATTTGACTTTTGTTTCCTTATTAATTATGTGGTTTTATGTTGAAATGCACAAACAGCACTTTCTAATGTAATTAACATCGATTTAACAAATAACTAAGTTCTTCAGATCATTTAGATAAGTCTCTAATTTTCCTATATATTGACAGATTTTAAAGTCTTTTCTCTGATTTTCCTTTTCCCTTGCCCAATACATCTCGCTCAGAGTTTTAATCAAAGTAGATGTTTCAAAAAGGACAGAGGTCTGGGATCTCTTCTGAGGCTTCTAATGAATAATGTGACATAAACATCTTTTTCTAAAATGTCTCAAATTTAAATATAGGGATATCAATTTCTCTTTTCAACTTCCTTACAGAATCTGCCCATCTAGGAAGAACACTGATTAAGTGTAAAAATTATGTTCTATATGTTATTGGAATTCCTCGTGAACTCGACTAATATAAGATGCACTTATTTCCAAAATGTGTCTATTTCTGCTCAGAAAAGGAAGATCTGGTTTTCTAAGATTGTGTTTTGAGGTTAAAAATGAAGATAGTGACCTTAACTCTCTCAAGATTTGTGAGGCTGGCATGCCATCTATCTCAATAATACCAAACAAGAATGTCAGATGGACAGAAACGGCCATGGTAAGCAGGTGCTTGCCGCTGACAGTGATTGCTGTATTTTGGGTGATGGGGAACAGCATTTCCATTAGTTCGAGTGAAATACAATGCCCTGCCAACTCTAGGTATCAGTGTATTCAATACCCCTGCTGTGCCATGTCCATTTTCTGTAGCTGCAATTAAAAATCAGTCGATACAAAGTCAAAATGTTGTACATTCTTCCCCTATCCCTTTCCCTGTCACTGTGTTTCCAGCTTCACCGGAAGAACAAGTCACTATGGCAACGAATCCCTCTGGTGCACAAACCAAGTCAACCTTTCTAGTCAGACTGCCAAGAAGAGCAACAGGGAATCAAAGCCCTGAATGGAACCACCAGAAACCATGAATTCCATCCCCCTTTCTCTAAGTGGGGTTAACCAACACCAGACAAGGTACCTCTCTTATTCTAGAAGGCATTTAAAAAGGAAATGTAAGAATCTCCTTCGGCAAATTCTCCCAGTGTTTGCTGTTCATTATTAACATGAATTCTCCCTCACATTTCAGCTAACTTCCTCTCATTTCAATTTCAAAGAAAGAAGAAAATTATGGATAAAATAATGCTTTCTAAATCTGAGAATCTGAAAACTGCTATAAAGTCACCCATTGTCAAAAACTATTCTAGGTCCTCTTGTTTTCCTGCCTCAACATCCAAACCCAAGTTGCTTTCTTCTGGACTCCCCTGCTATCCTGTACATCTTTACAAAGGGGTAGTGCTCCAAATGGGTCAGCCTGTTCCAATAAGAACCTAATTGTGAAGCAAATGGGATCTTGGTCGTATTAACACACCCATAACAAAATCAGCTAAAATCCCTAGTCATTCTAAAGAAGGTACTTAGATGGATTCCCTCTCTGAAGTCACCTCACCTAAATCTGACCTGGCTACCTAGACCAGACCCACTGTCTGTCATTCTTAAACAGTTAACTTTTTTACAAATTAACATTTTTTTTCTGATCAATTGCAACACTTCTATCTATCAAAGAACATCAGCTCTCATAAATATTATTTTAATACAGCAGCAAACCTCACAACATTATAATGAGACATTAGGAACTGCTTTTATGACTTGGCCTCAAAGACTTTACAAATAATAACATCTTTGTCACCTCAACACCACCATTTAATAGTTGAAGAGAATGAAACACAAGGGGAAAAAGACAAGACTCATAAAATCTGCCCATCTTTCTACAATGTAGCTACGTTAGAAGAGAACACACTCCTTTCTTCAGAGCAATATTAATAAATATTCAAACAGTTTTCCAGTGAGTTGACAACAGGATGGTCCCCAGAGTATATATCATACAAGGTTTACAAATTCCATCAGGTAAGCAGAATTTTTTTAAGTTATGTGATCACATTAAAATATCAAATAATTTTTTATCATTAGCAAATGCAGTTGTTTTATGTTTTGATATATACTGGTTATTTTTATATACATTTTCTGAAAATTTTATTTTTTTTAATCTGACATGCCCACTTTGGTGTTACCCAAAGAACTACGTTTTTTGTACTTATTAGACCTTGTTAATATTCAGTGCACATAAGTCACTACTGTCAACCACTGCTTCAGGAGACATAAAGAATTGTGATAATGATGCTGCTGGTCAGCTGGCTTTGAGCTGCTTACAGGTCAGGGACTGTGATTTATTAATGTTTATATGACCAATGCCTGCACCATTCCTGGTATAGTATAGCGCTCAGCAAACAGTTCTGGTATGAATAAGGCCGCCTCTGTGAAATGTTTCCCCCGCTTTCCCCTGTTTGAATCAGTTCAACAAAAATATTAGCAGCTTGTCTACCCCTGACACATGACTCCTTAAAGGGTTTCCTTTAAGAGCGCGAACAACGTTCGAGATTCCCTTCTCAGAGGCTGATGAAGCATTATCCTGGATAAGAACCCTAGACCAAGAGGTTCCACTCGAATCCCGACAGACAGAGAAGCGCAAGAGGAGAGGCGGGGGAGAGAGTTAAGCCTGCACCACGCTTCATTGGCAGCTTTTGAGAGAGGCAAGTTCTGGCCCCGAGGCTCAGCCAGGCCTGGAGAGCCGGACCACCTGGAACCAGGAGACCTGATAGCCCTGATAGCCTAGTGTGGCCTGAGGAGGAGACGCGAGGGGCTGCGGGGCCTAGAGGCGCCGGGCTCTCCGCAGCGCCACGCCTCGCGCCGGGCGCTTACCTTTCCGAATGAGGGCGGCGATCTCGGGGTCGAAGCCCTGCCGGTGGCACTTCCTCCAGAGGCCCATGTTGGTGGAGTTGTACTGCCGGCTGCACTCATCCGCGGGGCTCATGGCGAAGAGCTGCCGGCGATTCCGGGCCCGGAGGAGTTTGCCCTCCCAGCGGTCCAGGCGCGAGCGGCTCGCCCGGAGCGGCAAGTTGTTGTTATTATTGTAAATGAAGCCGGGGTCGACCCGGCGGGTGTTAAAAGCCTTGCACCTGTCCCTGTGCTTCCTGGCGTCCGTCTCGTACCAGTGGTCCGAGCAGATGGCCACGGCCAGCATGCCGAGGGCGCAGAGCGCTAGCGAGAGGCCCGTGTAGAGCAGTAACCTTCCGGCAGCCATGCCTCCGCTTGGCGGCTACACCATGGGCATGATCCGCCGCAGCCTCGCCTTCTCTTGCCGCGCCCGGAACAAAGCGGAGGGCGGCCGAGCTGGGGGAGGGGGCAGGAGAGCGACTCGCGCCGCGGCGCCCCCTCGGCCCCCACCTACCGTTGAGCCGCCCGGAGACTGCGGGGATGGGGGCGGGCGGCCTAAAAAGTTCTGATCCGAAGAGGCTCCCGCGAGCTCCTGGGCATCCTCTGGGGCAGGTGCAGCCTCCAGCGGAGGCGAACCCAGCGCGGCCGCCTCCCGCCCCCTCCCCGCCCCGCAGGAAGTGACTGCCCCGCAGCAGCCGCCTTGAATCCCAGCCCGGCTTCGGGCGCCGCTGCCCTCCGGCCGGAAACTAAACGCCAAGTGTCCTCGGCTGCGGTGGGGCTTGCCGGGGTTTCTTTGTGCACGGTGGTGACGGGACAGAACTCGCCTGCCTCTCGGAGGGAGACGGGGGGTGCTGTCAAGAGGCGCCACCGGACCACAGGGTGAAGTGTAGCACCCTCGATGCGGCTGGCAGGCGGAAGAAACCTCGGCTGCCCCGAGTCGCCTGGGTCTCTCGCTCAAAGACTCTCCCCTTTCCGTCTGCAAGCAAGGACCTGGGGCGCGCACCCAGAAATGTTCTTCCTTTCTGGGTCGGGTCCTTTTAAAATCTCCGTTCCCTGGTCACCCGCAGGTCGGTTGCTACTTCTGACCCGGGTGCTGCTCTCAGAGGCGCGCTCCCAGCGGACGCACTGTCTCGGCCGACCTTCCCCCGCGAGCTCCCCGGGCGCCTGCCTCTGTCATGGCCATTCAAGCTGCCCCTCGGGCCGACGGCGCGGTCACCCGGGCGGCGTTACCGGACGAGTCCCGGCCGGGTGTCTGCGGAAACTGGGCGGCTGCTGGCGGACGCGAGGGGCGGGCTGCGCGGCGGAGGGCGCACCGGACAGCAGTCACGGTGCGCGGCGCTCGGATCTCGGCGCACGGCGCCTTCAACACCATGGACAGGTCACGCCGTCGCGGCGCGCTGCCGGCCCAGCCGCCAGCCCCCCGGCGTCACGCAGCTGTTCCTAGTGCCGTCTTCTGCCTGGAGTGTCCACCCGGCCGCCTCCGGACCCGGCTTTCGCGCGACGCCTCCTCCTCACTTCATCTGGCACCCGGGAGCCCCGGGAGCTGGTCGCCCAGATGCAAAGAAAATGCCGCAGGCACCGAGGACAACCTTGGTCCCGGCCCCTCGGAACAATCCGCCCCTCTCTCCAACCACCTGAGCCCCTGGCACTCTGGCACCCTGTCTGCTCTGCCCAGCTGGGCTCAGCTGCTCTCAGATTGCACCATTTTCTTCGCAGCCCACCCCGGCGCTGAGATGCCGGCTCACTCGGCAGCGAGCAGAGAATCCCGTCCCGGCTTCGGCGTCCCAGGATCCCGCTCCCGGCGCGCGGTGGTGGCCGAGATGAATGAGGCGAGGGTGGGGGAGGGAGGCTGGGTCACTCGGCTTCCCCTAGTCGCCTCCTCCTCTAGCGGTGGCGGCTCCGAGGCCTCGCAGGCTCGGCTGGTGCCCGGGAGGCGAGAGAGCCCAGGCTGCGCCCAGGGGACTGGGGAAATCGCATCGCCCGAGTGCGGGCGCCGGAGGAAGCCGCTGCCGCGCTCTCTAGTCGGGCGCGGGGCGCTGCAGCCTTGGCTAAAACCCACAGACGAGAACACCGAGCGCGCAGCCAAAAGCTAGTGATGTCATCCGTGCAACGTGAGCCTCATCTCTTATTTTTCTAGCCTCCTTAAAGATAAACTGCACCATTTCCCAGGCACGAAATGTCTCAGCCTTATTCTTTGACCAGGCAAGTCAATGGTGTCTAGATAGGTATGTGCCCAACCACATCCATATTTATGCACATATACATATATGTGGTATGTAGCATGTTTACATACATTATTGTAAATTTAGGGATGTTGCCTACAGCTCCTGTTTCTTTTTCCAGACATGGAAAATTCTCTCAAACCCACTACAGTTATTTAAAGGAAAAACTGCTTATTGTAGAGTCGGCCTTCGGAGGGGCCGAGCGAGCTCCCTGCGTTTCGGTTTGGGCCACCGTTGTCTTGGTATGCATTCGATCTTTTTTTCCCACAGGGGCTACCTTGCTAGCTACAGGCGTTTCCACCGAGGGCAGAGCTGAGAGCGGCCACGGAGTTAACCCGCCAGCCCCAGAGCCAGGCACCCCGACACACACCCACCTCCACCTGCCCTCCCTTCTCAGCAGGAAAAGAAAGAAGAAATTTGGCAGATCCACTCAGGACAACAAAGAGAGAAATTTAATGGTGGATGGTGGGGGGGTTGGTAGATATTTTGAAAACGCTGGAGAGCTCGAGCACTGAGGAGGGGAGGTGGGGTGAAAGGAAACCTCGATGCGGGATTTGTCATCTTGTAAGGGTGGCCGCTGGATTTAGGCTCTGCAGAGGCTCTGAGAGGTAGCGCCAGACCCCAGACCTTGAGCGGGTGGGCCCCAGGCGAGCCCCGCTTCATCCCAACCTCAGCCCCCCTGCTCTGCTCACGTGAGACAGCGCCGCAAAGGCTGGGAGCCTCCCTCCTGGCATCAAACGCTGGATTTTTCACTCTCTTGCTCACCCCTCGTTTTCACCCTCACTCCAAAGTCGAGGTCCGGCACTGCCAGGTAAAGAGTTACCCTGGGGGAAAAGAAAGTGCCCCACACCCTTCTTTGCACAACGGGGCTTGTGAGCCAAAATGAGCACACCTCCACCATATTCTTTTTGTCTTTTTTTTTTTCCTCTCTCCCCTTCCTGCATTTTGAAAACCTCGAATGAGGCATATCAGTGCCATCTAGTGGGGGAGGGGCGTGCCTCGCTTTCGCTTTTCACCCCTGGATTGATTCTTCAATGGGATTTGCCCAAGGGACAACAGAGCCTGATGCGGCCCGCTGGATTCTCGGGTGCCTGGCTGGTCGAGGGACTGCAGGTGTGCGCCCTTGGCCAGATCTCTGCCCTCTGGCTTCCCTAGGATATCAAGACAAAGCCAAGTGACTCTGGCCCCAGTGTCTTCTCACCTTTTTTCTAGCCCCATCCTTAATCAGTGCACCCTCCCCCAACCTTGAAACACTTTGCACTCATGCAAACAATATCTTAAATTTCTGAAGTTATTTTCCTCACTAAAGTCCAGAGCACTTTTAGACTAACAAGCTACCTGCATTTAATAACAGGGAGGAAGGAGAGGGGTGAAATGACATCTACAAGGTCACTTGGGAAATCAGGGCACAGAAGGCCTTCAAGAGCAGTCTCCTGGTTCCAAGATTTCCTCTCTCCTTAAACCCAGCTGAATGGGTTGCCCCTGAGACCAGTCCAGGCAGTTGATCATTCCCAGTAAATGTACCTGTTTATTTTGTCCTTATCTTTCCTCCCTCTTCCATTGTGCCACCCATCTAGTGCTCTTGATTTTAGCATTTTCTCCTGACCTGTACCTGAGAGCTGCTTCCAAGGATGTGCCTGGCCCATTCTCCAGGGTCCTCAGCAGTCATGTATTTGGGGCCCTGCTTGCAGTGGGAACCCAAACAGTACACTATCCTCTTCCTTACTGAACATCATTAAAATTCTATTTTGAAATATTTGTCCTTGATGAAATCCCCAAAATCCAATAAAGTTATGGATTTGCGGCCTCCTTTGAAGTGCAGTTATGTTGGGCAGCCCTATATCATTATGGGATGATCCTGGTCCTTGAGGCTAAGATGGTTGCATGACTATCTTTTCTTAAGTGGGTGATCTAAGTCTCTTCCCACTGTCTGCTTCCGATTCCTTCCACTCTGCTGCCTACAGCAGCATCTTTGTGTTTCCAGCCTATTTCTTCCCATTTGCACCAATGCTGTCGCAGATCATAGGATCTCAAAATCAGAAAGACTTTAGAGTTAAACACACATGTAATAATGCATGAATCTCTTTTAGAACATTTTCCAAAAAGTGAATGACCAGCTTCTGCTTGCACACTTGAAGTGATGGGGAAATCAGTTTGCAAGCAGCCCATTCCACTTTAGACTGTGTAAGTAGCTAGGCAGTTCTTCCTTATACTGAGCCTTCTCCTAAGTGTCATAACTTATACTCATTGGCCTTTGTTTTTGCTTTCTAAAGGCCCACTGATGGGGCCTGATTCATCTTCCATTTAGTGGTCCTTCTTACACTTGACATAGCCATCATGTTCTCCCTACACCTTCTTTCCTCCAGACTAAATGTCCCTTGTTCATTCTCATGCTTGCTCTTCTCTGGCTTCTGATGCCTCCCGATGGTTAGTGTTCCTTTTGGGTAATACCTCTTTGATCCATCAGTCATGCAAACCTATGAAGAAATTTTGGTAAATCTGTCATGTTTTTATGTGACTTATGTGCAGTTCTAATGGTCCTCACTTCCCCTTTTGGGAGCCCATAAGTCATCCCCTTATTAAGCCATTCCTAGAATCATACTCCAAAATGACATTAAGATCACTGATCTGTAGTTTGTGAAGTCTGTATTTTTGAAATTTGGAGTTTCATTTGTTCATACCCACCCACTCCCTGTTTTAAAGTGTCATTAACATTCTGCAGGCTCTCTCTAAAGTCGCCAACAAAGGTTGAGACATCCTTGAAAGTTCTCTCCATTTCCTGGAATACATTTCACCTGGAGCAGATGGATGTTTTCCTCCAACTTCTTCACCCATTCTGAACTGTCTTCAGTTACCATATTGTTCCACCCTCTACCCCATCTTCAGCCTGAAAATCTCTCTTTGACATTGTCAATTGTCAAAATAAGTTCATGAGGGGTGTACTTTCTCTTTGCCATCTATTAGTACAATATTACACAATTTGGCCAGGCGCAGTGGCTCACACCTGTAATCACAGCAAGACCAAGGTGGGAGGATTGCTTGAGCTCAGGAGTTTGGACAAGTCTGGGCAACATAGTGGGACCCTATGTCTACAAAGCCAGATGTGGTGGCATGCAGCTGTCATCTGAGCTACTCAGGAGGCTGAGGTGGAAGGATCACTTGAGGCTGGGAGGTCGTAGCTGCAGTGAACCATGATGGCATCATTGCACTCCAGCCTGGGAAACAGAGTGAGACCTGTCTCAAAAAAAAAAAAAAAAAAAATACACCATTTGTCCAG